TAGCATGTTTTTGGGCATGCACTATGAGAAAATCATGCCTTTTTGAATATATATATATATTTTTTATAATATAATATAATATAATATAACATATAATATAATATGTTTTTTAGAGATTTACAATGATAGTACCATGGTATTTTTGAAGTAGCCATGGTTTTTGAATATGGTAATCATTTAGTGCTATGATTCTGCACAACCTTGACTTTCGATCCACTCATAATTAGATTATTTTTTTCTTTATATTTCTTCAAATACATTATAATGAGCCTAAGGTCCACCAGATGTGAAGGACTTTTTCTTTGACCTACAACACCCCCTACTGTTCTACTGCGAGTATAACACAGAGTTTGAACACTTTGGCTGTTCAAAATAGCATACTACTTCATTTCTGCAGTATGTATACTCTAGTATGAATTTTCTGTACAAAGGAAATATCCAAAATACGCTACAGAGCAAAACATTTCAATGCACTGCATTGACAGCATTGTCAGTGTGATGTAGCCTGGCAGTCTGGCAGGATGAACAATTATATAAAGTGGCAAAAATAAAAATAAAAATAAAAACTCCACTTATTACCTCCTCTTCTACTGCAGCTGCGATCAATGAGCGCTTGAATGTTTTCAATGGAGTGGGCGGAGACTAGAGCAATCAACCAATCAGATGATTAGGTGGCTCACTGTGTATTTGTATTTATTTGTTTATTTATAAATATAGCTAAATACTTATTTATTTTAAGTGATTTCTGAAGACAAAAATGCACTTTACACAGACAGATTAGCTAGTATAAAACTCCTAGCCCTCTAAACCTAGTTACTTTCACACCATACGCATATGCATATGCAGGAATTAATACAAGCGCTTTAAAGAAAAAAATAATAATTTGCTTTTTATTTACTCACCCTCAGGCCATCCAGCATGTAGGTGACTTTTCTTTCTTCACTGGAACAGTACAGAAAAAGATTCAGCTGAAACCAAACCATGGAAGTCGAGGGTTACCGTCACTTTGTAAGAAAGAAAAAAAAAAGCAGATACAAAAACACAAAAATGACAATATACATAATGCCCCATACTGACAATATATTAAGGTCTTATGAAGTGAAACGATCAGTCTGTGTAAGAAACGGAACATTATTTACAACAGTATTACCTGTGATCCAGAGTCAGGTAAATGGCACGTGCTCGCTCAAGCGTTCTCTCAAATGACGTATGCGCCTACGTGAACTGCAGCCGTGCTATTTTTATTACTTGAAAGAACATACAACATACCAAGTAAACAACAGTAAGAAAACTCTTAATACAATTCCAAGAAGTCCAGATAGCAGCATAACAAAGATAAACATATAAACAAAATAAGCCTAATCAGAACTTTAAGAAAGAAAAATAAATACAGAAATAAAATACTATACAAGGGCCTTAATCATCAAAAAATACATTCAAAAGATTACATAGTTTAAGGGCTTTTTTTATTTTTATTTTTTTTTATGACGCATGAGTTTTAAGGATTTGAAGAAGACCATTAAATCTTTCTGGAAAAGTAGGGTTTATTTATGAATGAAGTAACTGGCCAAAAAATCACAATATTATTAACCAAAAATTCACCATCACAATTCCAAGAAAAAGACAAATATTTAACAGTTTTAAAACCAAAGTCAGGTATTACATACTTAAAACTTAACCAAGCATAGAGGTCATCCCAGAATTTTTTAGTTAATTTGCAAAAATAAAACAGATGTTCCAATGACTCTATGTAGGTCTGTAATGAGGTGCACTCATAGCAAGACAAATTAAATCTTTGTCTGAGGAACTCATTAGACGGATAAATATCGTTAATAATTTTAAACTCAATGTATTTTACTTTTGGTAGAAGTGGAGAAGAGAGAAATCGTGTTCTAATTCGAACCACTTTATCTTCAGGAAAATCCAAAACAAGGGGTCTCTTCTTTACTTAAGAAGGGAAGATCAGTGTGTTTACTGATGTTCTTAAAACCTTATTCCTACAGCTCTGCTCCCTAAAATTAAGACCAGAGATGATTAGATTACCTAATCTTGGTTTCACAGGTGAATAACACAATGCACCTGAACCAAACCAGCAGGAACAGCTTTCACCAAAGACACATATAATTCCTGAGTACAAGTAATATTGTATTTTTCACAAAAATAATCATAACTTTCCATCCTCATCCATAATGTGCACAATGGACCAGCCTTTGTCCATCCAGCCCTGAAAAAACACAGATTTCCCTTTAGTAAGGATACACAAAGAACAACTATGTGGGGAAAAGTTGTGTTTGTATATTAATTTCCAATATAATAAAACCTGACTATGAAAAGATGATAAATTACACTTTAATTTTGATGGCTCAAATTTTTAGATTTCAGAAGAGAAGCTAAACCAAACAGAATGTTTATTCCTAGGCTTGGAGCCACCATTCATAACATCGAAATCAATTACGATATCAAGCACCATTATAAGAAAGTCAGATGTAGTGAAGTCAGTCAGTGAGGGAGGGTTGAATCCCTCACTGACTGCCTTCACTACATCTGACTTTCTTATAATGGTGCTTGTTTTTCCAATTAAATTTATACTGAATTTGATTAATGTCTTTGGTCCACCTATCAGATATACTCAAAGAAAATGCTGGGTAAATCAACCTGGAAAGTGCTTCGGATTTCTGTATGAGAATTCTGTAAAATATAGAGATATCTCTTTGTAACCACATATTTAAAATATTTTGACTTTTTTTTTTTTTTTTTTCATATTATCAACCAAATTGATTTTCTTCTCTAATTTTAGCGTCTTTAGTAATAACAATTCCTAATATTTTACCTAATTTTTTAATGGAATATTAAACAATTGAGATTCAGTGTGATTATGAAGTGCCATCAACTCACACTTTTTTAAATTCAGTTGCAGACTAGAAGCTTTAATCTTTCCAGATTAATGGCAACTGGAATCTGCTCTGTACCACCAAGAAACAGGGTGGCATCATCTGCTAGTTGACTTATTAATAGCTGACTCCCTAAAACATTCAAAGGCCTGATATCTTTACTATTTTTCACATAAATTGCAAACAGTTCAGCAATTAAAATAAATATATGGACTTGTCAGATCCCGTTGACTGCAGCCATTGTTTACGTGTGTGTGGAAGGTGGCTTGGATTTAGTATTAGCAGTATGTTTATACTTGTATTGTTAATTATTGTCTTATCTTATACTTTTTCAAATACATTTACATAAGTACTAGTGATTTGTGTGTGTGTTTTAAAAAAAAGGGGAAGAATCAAAATTATTTTTAATAAAAAATTTTTGTGTCACTTTAAGTTTGTGAAGCATCAGAGGAAAATATTTGTAGGTAATGTAATGAACTGTGTGGTTCCTTTGGTAGGACACCTGTGCAAAAATGAGAAGAACTGACTAAGCCTACATAAAGTCACTAAAATCAAATCAAAGACATTAAAGGTGGGGTAAGTGATTTTTCAAAAACGCTTTAGAAAACAGATTCGGGCCGAATAGCAAAACAAACTTGTAAACTTGTCCAATCAGCAGTAAGGGGCGTGTCTACTCATGATGTGGAGGAGAGAGCTGTTAAGCACAAATGAAGAAAAGTCAAGATCCCGATCTAATTCAATGGCATTCAGACAAGTGTGACTTAAAGGGATAGTTCACCCAAAAAATGAATATTCCGTCATCATTTCCTCACCCTCAAGTTATTCCAAACCTGTTTGAGTTTCTTTCTTCTTTTGAACATAACAGAAAATATTTTGAAGAATGTAGGTAACCAAACAGTTACTAGTCCCCATTGACCTCCACAGCATCCCCCCCCATCCCATACTATCCACCTTTTTCCTAAACATGGAAGTCTTGTCTGCCTCATAATGGAAAACTTTACATTTCCGGTCTCTGGTGTTTCTAGTCAAATTAACGCACAGCTTAACCCTGCGCACATTTTTATATTTAGTTACATTTAAACATTTTCAGTTTAATTAATTAATTCGATCTTTTTACTCCATTCTAACATGGAATTCTATGGAGACCGGAACACGAGAGCATCCAAACGGAAGTTAGAATCCATCATGATGGCGCACATCGGAAAAAGGTGGCTACTATACAATAAATACATACATACGAGTCAGTCCGGACCATAAATGACAGAATTTTCATTTCTGGGCAAACTATAAATTACAAGTGTCTAAATACAGATGGGATCACTATATATCACAATATCATCAGATTACCACCTGACATCATCAATGAAGAAGGGCAAATACTTAAAACAGATGGGAATAATGTGTTTGTGAATAATGTGTTTTGACATTGGACAAGCTGTACAGGCTTTTGTTCACAACTGCATTTTATTGTAACAATCAAAGACATGAAGAATGATGAATTGTGTACACATCTTCCATGAGAAATGTTCAGCTTGTCATAACAATACTCACAGACATTAATCAAGAACTGTATCACTTCATGAATAGGCAAGCAAGTCAATTTATAAAAACAAAGCAGAACTGCAATGAAAGAACAGCATTGTGACCTAACGTTTAATTTAGAATAACACTGATCAACCTTACACATGCCAGACAATCCGTTCGACAGACTGAGTCACTGCATCCTTCAAAATGTCCTCACGGTAAAGGTCGGTTCTGTTACGGGACGGCCCGTGGAGCAGCTGTGACGTCACAGTGCCAAGATCCACCGCACAAATAAACCCCCGGTGTGAAGAGGTTACCGGGGCAACGCTCCAGCACGGCACAGCTGGTGTAACTAATCAGCATCCACTCCGAGTGAGCTGGACCGTTGCTATAGTAACCGCCTTCCTCCTAAACCGAAATGAAAGGGTGAAAAGAGCATCTCCCTCTCGATCCGCTGTTCACCCAGAGAGTTTTCCTTTATTTTCTCAACTGTATTGTATTGTTTCTGGTGAGACCCCCTTCGTGAAAACTATGGGACAACGTAGGAATGGACAGTTTGACATTTATAGCAAAAAATTAGTGAATTCAAATCACACCAAAACCCCACAGGACTGCGCACCACAGCCAAAAACACCACTGTTACATTTTTTTCAAATGATATACGTTTGTTTAAAAAATAAGAATAGGGCATTTAGTTGTACACTCACCAGATAGACTGAATCCAGACTGATGCAGGTTGCGAACTGGTTGAGGAGCGTGTTTGACCGGAGAAGTCTTACTGGAGGTGACAGGGGTCATGACCTTAGGTGTCACAGTGACCTCACACACCGGGCCGTCATACAGACCTCGGGGGACTCCACGCAGCTCAGCAAGCTGCTATGAAAGATGCCATGATTTTGACAAATTTCACTTTAAACTGGGTTAGGTTAAGTCTTTTGTTTGTATATGCATCTATGTATGTGTATATACCCTGCTGCGGGCCTTTATCCTCTTGTAGACGTAGTCTGGGAAGGGTTTACGGGTGATGTAGCGTCCAGAACCCTCAGTGGTGTGGAGGTTCCCGTCCTAAAATAATTTATTTTTTTATGAAAAATAAGTAATATTAATTATATAATAATATAATTATAATAATCTATTATAATAACTATAATCAAAATAATGTGACATGGAGCATCTAATCAGATTGTACAGATGCAACTATTGATTAATAAATATAAATTTTGGCTACAATAAACTACTATAAACTAAGATAAACCCTTTAAAAGTAATAATATTGATAAAATAATTTCATGTCTCATATGAAACTATTAATTTGATAAATAACATGTCATTAAACATGACTTCATTTTTTGGAATGTATAATAATAATTTATTGTTTGTAAAAATAATTAACAATAATAAGCAAAACAATGCATCATGTCTCATCTAATCAGATTTTACATATTAAACTATTGAATAATAAATACCCATTTGTGACCCTGGACCACAAAACCAGTCATAAGGGTCAATTTTTCGAAATTGAGATTTATACATCCTCTGAAAGATGGCCGAGATACAACTATTTCAAAATCTGAAATCTGAGGGTGCAAAAAAAATCTAAATATTGAGAAAATCGCCTTTAAAGTTGTCCAAATGAAGTTCTTAGCAATGCATATTACTAATCAAAAATTAAGTTTTAATATATTTACAGTAGGAAATTTACAAAATATCTTCATGGAACATGATCTTTACTTAATATCCTAATGATTTTTGGCATAAAAGAAAAATCAATTTTGAATTTTGTTCAATGTTAATCAATTTTGACCCATACAATGTATTTTGGGCTATTGCTACAAATATACCCTAGCGATTTAAGACTGCTTTTGTGCTCCAGGGTCACATTTTGGCTACAATAAAACAATAAAGATAAAAAGTAAAATAAAAATAACAAATGCATAAACTCCTCATGTCTCATATAATCTGGATCTGTAATAATATTAATGAACAGATAAAGCAGATAAATTATCTCTCACCACACACTTGTCCCAGATGATGGACATTCTCTCCTCAGTACCGTTAGTTCCCTCCGGGATGAAGGTGAAATTATCCTTGCCCACGGCCCTCTGGGAAGTGTTGAAGGTGCAGTGAGCACTGCCAGTCACCTGCAGATCACCACTGCACACAAAACACACACAAAACACTTACAAACAGTAATGCTTTTGCACATGACAATATAATGTGTGTGTGTTTTTTTTTTACCATAGTATTCTTTGAAAAAAACGTTAATAGCATGTATACCATATAGCAATCATTCAGTACCACAGTATATTGCTAGCTAATAAATGCTTTTGGAAAGTAGTGTGACATGCTAAACTCCATCTAAAAATATTTAGCTAATTATTTTACATGCAATTTCATCACTGCATATTAACTGAGAGACTAAATGAAATATTTATACTTCTCCCACAGTATGTTTTTTGTACCATTTCAACTCATTAAGGGTTTCTTTGATTGTCATTTGTAGTGTATCTTAGTTTATCATAAGAATAAATAGAGAGAAAAGCTCTCCCCCGGGATCGCTTGATCGGTCGGCACCGGACCGCGAATTTAACCCCCGTAACTCCCGAACCCCGGGGGCTATCGAATATCGGCGACAGGCTCATATCGGCCGATAATATCTGCAAAACGATATATCGGTCAGGCTCTAAAAACAATAAAGATAAAAAGTAAAATAAAAATAAAAATAACAAATGCATAAACTCCTCATGTCTCATATAATCTGGATCTGTAATAATATTAATGAACAGATAAAGCAGATAAATTATCTCTCAAATAGCATGTATACCATATAGCAATCATTCAGTACCACAGTATATTGCTAGCTAATAAATGCTTTTGGAAAGTAGTGTGACATGCTAAACTCCATCTAAAAATATTTAGCTAATTATTTTACATGAAATTTCATCACTGCATATTAACTGAGAGACTAAATGAAATATTTATACTTCTCCCACAGTATGTTTTTGTACAATTTCAACTCATTAAGGGTTTCTTTGATTGTCATTTGTAGTGTATCTTAGTTTATCATAAGAATAAGTAGAGAGAAAAGCTCTTTTTTGTGTAATGGCACCCTATAGTGATCACGGATGACATACAGTAAGTGCCTAAAGGCTAAACCCTTCTCTGCACACACTCACTTGTGGTCCAAATAACCCCCCTGTACTCTAAATCCCATAATGCACTAGAGCAGCTGTGGAAACACACCAGGCCAGCAGGGAGTTGAGATAGTCTGGGGTGGTGGGGTCAGGGCTGAGGGGTGGAGATGTGATGTAGGCTGCAGCTTTGGCCCAGTTCTTGCTCCAGTAGTGAGTGCCATCTGTCCCCAGACTGGCTGTGATAGGTTCCCCATACACCACGGTACCTGCGGAGGGAAAACACTGGGTCAGAATAACTAGACCGGTTTTAAGAGCTGTTTCAAGACTAGATTTATGAGCTACTTCGTTCTTCATACTTAAATGCCTCGAGCTTATAAGCAGATGTTGCTCTGTTTCAAATGCTAAAGAGCTGTTTTGCTGAATAACGTTTTCTAAAACCAGTCTAACTAGCTAAAGATGTGATCAAGTGATCAAAACCCCTTTAAAACCAACCCACTGAACCAGCTATGACCAGGCTGGAGAAAAAACAGCACACAAAAACAATAAAAGACTATTTATGTCTTATTGTACAGACAAAATCTTGAATACAGTGAAAAAAACGCCAACTAGTGTAAAAAGACAAAATATACTTACACATATTTTTAGAATACAATATATGAAAACAAGTAAATTTACCTTGTTTTAAGCATATTTAGACATTTTTATATGGCAAAAATAAAAAAGTTATAAAAACGCCAACAGAGTCCCTGCTGAAAAAAAAAAAAACAATAGCAACCCTCATAGAATTTGTATTGGTTTTAATGGTTATAATGGGAATTGTATTGGTTTTAATGGAAACTGTAATGGTTCCTGTGGATCTGGTAATTTGTTGCCTTCTATTGGTGGCATGTTCAAACCACTAAATCCTAATGGAATATGGCCCAAAACATGCTACTGGACAGGGCCGACAGGTCTGTGTAACAAAACCAGCACAAAGGCCAATCAAAAATAGCCCAAAACAAGCCCAAGGACCCTACCCCAATATCCAAACTCAACATCCCATACCTAAAATACATATTTTACAGTCACACTTATGCATTATACACAATTTCAACTTGAAAATCACTAGTAGTAATCATAAACAGTCTTCATAAAGGCACTCAAAGGTTCCTCCCTCACAAAACTCATAATCCAGCAGGTTTATCTTTGGTAGAATGTTAAATATTTCAATACACGCATTTTAATCAATTGCAATTTATGCAGTATATCAACTATTAAAATCATGGGAAAAACTCGGCAACACCGCTACTGGAAACCAAAAGGTACTGGTTTTAATGGTTAACAGTTGATGGTTGGTAATGTTTGTAATGGTATTTGTAGAGGAAACCATTAGAACCTTTGTGATGGTTTCTATTGTTTTTTTTCAGCAGGGTGATGTTAGCATAATGCTAAGTTAATGATTTTTGCGCCAAGCAGAAAAATACACAACAAACACAAATATTGGGTAAAATAGTTCATTTTAAATACTTTTTCAGTATTGATTAAAATACATTTCCCTTGACGGGTCCTATAGCTTTACTCATGCTAAGTGTTAGCCTAAACATTAGCATAATAACACACCATTTCCATAGTAGTAATTTCACTGCAAAAATGATTTTGTTACTTTTATGTAGTATCTTTTTTGTCTTGTTTTCCATTACAATTAAGATTTAAAAATACATTAAATCAAGATACAGTTACAGTTAGAGATCAATGACTTGTTTTCAAAAAATTTATCAAAATGATAAACCTAAACTTAATTAAACGTGAAAACAAGATTATTTTTCTTAACCTACCGACAGATATTTTCTCTCGTTTTAAGCATGAACCCAATTCATTTAGCTTTTTTTTTCTTCAGAAATCAAAATAATTTCTTAAGTCATTTTGCTTCTCTAGTAAATATATTTTGATTTGATAATGTTTAGATATTCGTACTAGAAATCAAGACAAAAATACTGTGTAGGAAAATCTTTTTTTTTTTTTTTGCAGTGTAGTCAGTGTCACATGTCCTCTAGTTAGGAGTGTGTTGATAATTTGAGAATAAAACCCATGTGCCATTTTCCAGGCATTTCTTGGTGATTTAGTGGGATGTGAAGCTGTTTTTATAGCAAACATCTGATGTACCTTTTTTCCTGGCCTGTGCGATGACTTCAGCAGCGCTCTTGCTCATCACTTTGGCGATGTAGAGCGGGCAGTTGGTCTGATTGGCGATGGTCACAGCGCGGTTGACGGCCTCGGCCTCCACCTATAAAACAACGGCCGACACTCACTGACCTTCAGCTCAAATTACAGACGCAGCCGCTGTAAAGTGCTGCTCAGCACCTCCTGAACGCTGACTGCACTTTATGTGCAGCTAAAGGTTTCTGGAAGGCTGATGTGCCTGCGATACCAGTGATCAATGAGTCTGGCAGCAAAAACTGTGGGAAAGTGGAAAGTCTGAAATCCCTTGATCCCTAAAGGGAAATAAACCATAAATGTGTTTTATTGCAGCATGTTTGAAGGTTATTTTGGAAGTGTTCTCGGGTCTCGATGTACTTGTAAGGCCGATGATGTGCTAAAAAGCCCTTCCATGTGGTGCACAGCTGTAATTTTGCGGTGTGAATTTGGTGTAGTCTGATGTGCATGTGAAGCGTTTTACCTCCTCTGGACGGCTCAGAACGTGTCCCTCTGGACCAGTGATACCCAATCCCAGAATCCTCTTCTGCTCCTATAAACAAAAGAGAGTAAAAGAGGTTTATAGTTTCTATTTTTAAGAGTTTTTTTGCATTGTAAAATTACTGTCATGACAATTATGCAAATTTGACCCCAGATTATAATAAGTGTAATGGAGACATTTTACTTTTTTTATATATTTCACTTATTTTGTATTTCTCATTTATTCTCAAATAACTACTGTAACTTTTTTATGATTTTACATTTAAATCAGCATAAAAGCAACCAACCAGTGTTAATTTCATTGACGAATAATTTTCGTCATAATTTTCATCAACGACATTTTTTCACCAGTGAATACGAGACAATAACGAATTAAAAACTTGTTTTGAATTAGAAAAACTATGACGAAAATATATTAACATTTTCGTCAATGAATACGAAAGCGAGACAAAAATGTTACGTCTTAAGCGAATGTAAACAGTTTGGAGAATATTCGGTTTTAAAGGGACAGTAGTCTAATTTAGTTGCTGTTAGTCTGTCATTAATGTTAATTAAGCAACAAAAGAAAGAGAGAAAATCACTCCCTGCTAATAAGGATTACTCTGAATTTAATTTATATAAATAAATGCCTGGTTGAAAGAATGAAGAATGCTGTTATAAAGAATGCATATTATATAACCATTGGTATTTCATTGAAAGGAGGACCATGTTCTTGTTTCTTTATGAGAAGTGGTTTTATTTCGTTTGAATAAAAAGGCATGTTGTGTGTCACAGCAGTTAAATCTGTGTGTATATATTGTATGTTCAAACTTGAATATCATTCATATTACCAGGTTAATAGATGATTTCTCCAGGAATATATAATGAGTTTAGAAAGTTTGCTTAATAAATGCATTACACTGTAACTAAACCCATTAGATTTTAGTTGGCTAAATCTACTGTACATTTAGTCGACTAAAATAACTACATTTACTGTACATTTAGTCGACTAAAACTAAAACAATTCAGATGACTGAAATATGACTAAAACTAAATGGCATTTTAGTCAAAAGACTATGACTAAGACTAAATCAAAATTTGCTGTCAAAATTAACACTGCCGCATTGTGACGTTATTTTTGGCACCCAATTCTTATTATTGCATTGCATTTGACATTTGACATGTTTTACTTTTAGCTTATTCTGAATTATTCATTCATTTTGTATTTTTAAATCCTTTGAGAATGTGTGCCATTTAAGCCACAAAGTGTGTAAATCATCACTTTTCATGTGAGAATACTGTTATATTTTTTAGTTTATTTTATAAAAATGAACTAACTATTTTTTGTTGTAAAAATTCATTATTTATGATTTTCATGTAATGTTTTTATGAAAAAATTATTAGGTTATGTTATAGTCGGATAAACTATTTTATGTAAATATATTTTATATATCATTTATATAGATTTATTTTATATAAACTATTTTACTTTTTGTTTATTCTAAATTATTAATTCTACTTGTTTATTTTATTTATTCTCAAAGACGATTTTCATATAAAATGTACAAAAAAACTATACATTTTTTATTTTCATGAAATGTTTTTATGAAAAAAATTATACTTTTTTAAATTCAACTGCCTAAATCATCACTTTTCATGTGAGAACACTGTTATAGGTGGATAAAGTAGTTAATAATCACTGATATAACTGCAGTATTTTGATTTTTCTCTATCTAAACAGTCACTTTCACATAGTAAGTGAAAGTTACTGGATTTACCCACTTGCCATGAGCATTTATTATCACTCAAATCTCATGTTAACACATAATGTTTAAGTCCTGCATCTAGACCTTTTGATATGTGTGTATTTTTCATAGGAAAATCTGGGGAACAAGTTCAAATGATCTTCTCTGTCAATCAATATTGCCACAAATGCACAAATCAACTGATCTAACCTAAGCTTTCATTTTTGTTGCACACATGCAAAAGTGTGTAGACTCCAGAAGAACATACCGTGATCTTTGACCAGCGCCTCGAGCTCCTCCTGCATGCCCTTGTGCCACTCTGTGATGTCCACATGAAGAGAGTAATCGCAGCAGGACTTGTGGTCGGCCCACTCCCTCCACTGGTTAAAGGCAGCGATCAGACTGACGCCCGGCTCTGGGACCACATGATCGACTGAAAACACACACATACAAATCACAATTTAGTGATACTAAATACTTGCATTGAAGAAATTTAAATATATTAAACATGCAATTTGTCCCACAGTTTTTAGGCTAAACTGTCACAGAGAACGTCTTGGGGTCAATGTCATTTTAGTATTATATTTATATACTATTATAGTATTTATTAATACTTTTTTACTAATACTTTTTATATTTTCAGTTTTCATTTTAAGTTTCAGTAAGTTTGTTATATGCTTTTCAATTTGACCATCACCAAAAACATATTTGATATGTACAATTTTGCATTAAACATCATGAACAACATTTTAAAATACAAATATTTATTTAGAAGCAAATTACTGCAGAAAAATCAGAGTTAATCCTGTTAACTATAAAAAATCATGAAATTGTAATTCATAATGTTAATATTCTGACAATTTTAAATCGCATATAAATGATTTATATACATTAGATAGATAGACAGACAGACAGAGAGAGAGAGAGAGAGAGAGAGAGAGAGAGAGAGAGAGAGAGAGAGAGAGAGAGAGAGAGAGAGAGAGAGAGAGAGAGAGAGAGAGAGAGAGAGAGAGAGAGAGAGAGAGAGAGAGAGAGAGAGAGAGAGAGAGAGAGAGAGAGAGAGAGAGAGAGAGAGAGAGAGAGAGAGAGAGAGAGAGAGAGAGAGAGAGAGAGAGAGAGAGAGAGAGAGAGAGAGAGAGAGAGAGAGAGAGAGAGAGAGAGAGAGAGAGAGAGAGAGAGAGAGAGAGAGAGAGAGAGAGAGAGAGAGAGAGAGAGAGAGAGAGAGAGAGAGAGAGAGAGAGAGAGAGAGAGAGAGAGAGAGAGAGAGAGAGAGAGAGAGAGAGAGAGAGAGAGAGAGAGAGAGAGAGAGAGAGAGAGAGAGAGAGAGAGAGAGAGAGAGAGAGAGAGAGAGAGAGAGAGAGAGAGAGAGAGAGAGAGAGAGAGAGAGAGAGAGAGAGAGAGAGAGAGAGAGAGAGAGAGAGAGAGAGAGAGAGAGAGAGAGAGAGAGAGAGAGAGAGAGAGAGAGAGAGAGAGAGAGAGAGAGAGAGAGAGAGAGAGAGAGAGAGAGAGAGAGAGAGAGAGAGAGAGAGAGAGAGAGAGAGAGAGAGAGAGAGAGAGAGAGAGAGAGAGAGAGAGAGAGAGAGAGAGAGAGAGAGAGAGAGAGAGAGAGAGAGAGAGAGAGAGAGAGAGAGAGAGAGAGAGAGAGAGAGAGAGAGAGAGAGAGAGAGAGAGAGAGAGAGAGAGAGAGAGAGAGAGAGAGAGAGAGAGAGAGAGAGAGAGAGAGAGAGAGAGAGAGAGAGAGAGAGAGAGAGAGAGAGAGAGAGAGAGAGAGAGAGAGAGAGAGAGAGAGAGAGAGAGAGAGAGAGAGAGAGAGAGAGAGAGAGAGAGAGAGAGAGAGAGAGAGAGAGAGAGAGAGAGAGAGAGAGAGAGAGAGAGAGAGAGAGAGAGAGAGAGAGAGAGAGAGAGAGAGAGAGAGAGAGAGAGAGAGAGAGAGAGAGAGAGAGAGAGAGAGAGAGAGAGAGAGAGAGAGAGAGAGAGAGAGAGAGAGAGAGAGAGAGAGAGAGAGAGAGAGAGAGAGAGAGAGAGAGAGAGAGAGAGAGAGAGAGAGAGAGAGAGAGAGAGAGAGAGAGAGAGAGAGAGAGAGAGAGAGAGAGAGAGAGAGAGAGAGAGAGAGAGAGAGAGAGAGAGAGAGAGAGAGAGAGAGAGAGAGAGAGAGAGAGAGAGAGAGAGAGAGAGAGAGAGAGAGAGAGAGAGAGAGAGAGAGAGAGAGAGAGAGAGAGAGAGAGAGAGAGAGAGAGAGAGAGAGACAGACAGACAGACAGACAGACAGATAGATAGATAGATAGAATTTAAAGTTGTTTGTATCAAAAAATCAGAATGAATCATAATCTTTGTCATATTTTTAGAGAAACAATAATGTACATTATGTGGAAAATAATGTGTTTTTTTAACCTTAAACCGCATAAACACATTGCATTACACCAAATACACAAAATAATGTTATTTTTAGCAACATCATATGACCCCTTTAACATAAATAATTATTCATTTAAAATATTATTTCATATAGATCAGTCATTTAAATGCAATTATGACACCAAAAACCTTGCAATGTGTGTTGACATAAAAAGTCACCACTGTTGAAAACAAAGTGATTTGATTTGATTCGATAAATGTCTTTGTATGGCAAGGTCACTGTAAGAAACAACCAAATGAGATGCAACTGTAGATACGGGACATACTGCACGGTCAGAATCCTGTTATAAACCACACAGCGCACTAAAACATGACCGGCAAGCACTGGACATCAAGTTCAATCAGAGCTGAAGCATAAAGATCGCTGAGGCACATCAGAGAAGCACAGTGATTCTTATCATGCTAAATCGATTCTGACACGCCATCATGAGCCCAAACATCATTTCAGGACACCGCCATCGAATGCAGCCCACATGCTTCCCTCCTGTTCAGACACGCAGTGCACAGAACTGCACAGAAACTTGGCGCACGTTCAATTTTACCTTACTGCAATAAAAAAGTATCTGATTTAATATCATACATACATAACACTGTCGTGATAGCGGTGTGGAGGACATGCACCCATATCCAAGGGCATGATGGGAATTGTGAGGGGTTTAATAAGATCTGAGTTGCTTTGTGCTCTGTAATTAAGGACCTGATGGGATAATTGTCATGGAAGTCCTATTCTGTAGCTGTCTGCTAATGAGTAGCTATGAAAAGAGTCTGTGCTGTGGAAAACAAGATATTGTTGAAAAGACTGTTGCAAACTTAAAAATCTATGGATGAAATCCTATGAATTAAGACTTAAGTTCACAATTAAGTTCAAGATGCTTTACGATCCAATCTGAATGATTGTATTTCACGAAGCAAGCATACATGAATGGAACCACAATGCTGTATTTAATAATTGGCTGATATGACCAAAACCTTATATCACAATATGAGTTTAATTGCATGATAACAATGTATTTTTGCTGAAAGCATAGGCTTTACGTTACATTTTTTTTACACACTGAAAAACAAAATTGGTGTATAATTAACTTTATAATTTTAACAAATTTACAATTTTCACTAAGAAATCGCTAGTAAATTTCACAACTAATTACAAGGAAATGGCAAGAATGACAATTTTGAAGTAGAAAGACTGAAATAGTATTTTCTTGTAAAACCTACTCTAACAATCTGTTTTATTGACAACTTTGTATAATCTTTTTTTTTTTTAAAGTGCATTAAATTTTTACAACATTTTTGATACCACTGAAATTTCAAAACTATGGACACCAATATCAATATCACATGAAAAAATGAATACTAACCTAATTAATCAAATTAAAAGTTTCAGTCTTATTGAAGACATGTAAACAGTCAGTGATAAAATAAAAACAAGAAACTAATTACTAGCAGGGTTGTTATAGTTAACTAAAACCATAAAAATAAATAAGAAAATATTTTTTTATTTCAATTAGTTGCCAAGAAAACTTTTCTCATTTTTATTTCGTTTAAGTTGATGTAGTAAAAATAACTAAAACTAAAATTGAAATAAAAACTATATAGACATATTAAAAACAAAACTACTAACACTTGAACTCAAATTAAAATTAAAAATATAAAAAAAAAAAAAAACTAATTGAAACTATTAATAAGAACTATAATAGTATTATAATTATACCAAAATAACATCAATCAATTATTAGGACAAATGAATGTAATAGAACAAAGATACAGATGAAATACATTTTTCAGGTCTAATCCAAAAATCTCAACCTTTTGACAAATTTCTACTGGTTTATTGTGTCTACGGGTATATCACCTAAGCCATTTACTGAAAATGACTAAAAACATATATATGTGAAAAAGAGAGAAACATATTTTGTTTTATTCAGACCAAAATCCCATGAACACACATTAAAAATATCCCCCAGACAACTGAACCAAGTTTTAACCAACCACTAGCTAACATAATCTATATCGATATTAACCCCTAAAGGAGTACATTCTGTATGGCTTGGGAAGGAATGATCGTGAAATGACTTAAACATCCAAACAGAAATCAAGCCTCATTCATCTCTGAAACAAAGCCTTTCTGTTCACTGCTGTACTATGAAACACACAGTAGCTCCAGACCAATGCGACCATGCCATCATCATCATCATCATCACAGCCGACGCTCGCTCATGCTGTCAGCTAAAAACAGCTCGGAAACCATCTTAACTGTGTTAGTCACAGTGGAAGGACTGCGGCTGCAGCGGCTCTTGAGCTCAAGCGATCACGTGGGTTATTTGTGATGTTTAGACTGAGCTTGAGATCAATGTCAGAGATCAACATGAACTCTTTTTATTCATCCGTGACGGACATGTGCTCTGTACTGTTGTTCCATTACTAACGCTGAGTCCAGACAAACGCTGGCATTACGGCCCGAAGGCTCATTAAAACAGACCTTTACATCGGCTTTACTGCTGAGCTTTTGGCTTACTCGGCAGTTCTTTAATATAATGCATATTCAGGAATACTGACCAGTTAGAGGATTAGAGAAGGTAGGCAATATCTCAAATCTTATCAAACGGATAGTTATGGTCCTGGATGCTAATCGGCCTTCATTATGACCCCGAATCTGATCTGGATAAGCACTGTGTCCAAAATATAACATATCACACATGGCGAACTCTGAACTCTGACTGCAGCTTTCCTAGAACGAATCAAAGCTTTAATTAGGTGAAATATGAAGTTATTTGCTTTCAATTAGTAAAGTAGATAATTTGGGTACAAACGGACATTTAGTTGAGTATATAAATTGGTTGATCTTTGTCAAGTTTCGACAACACAAATGGTAGCTATTTAAGCTCGACTGACCGTATTTGTGGCACAATTTTGAAAATAACTGAGTAAATGAATGGCATAAATATATATGAAGGAAACATATGCATAATTGTATATGCAAAATACAAAACCTGTAAAATTATTTATTCACCAATATTT